AAAGAAATATTATAACAGATGCAAAAAACGCATATTTTTTTGATTGCAAATCTTAAAAACTAAGAAAAATAATAAACTCCAACTTGGTGACACATGTTTGTTTGTTTGTTGTTGTTGTTTTTTTTTTTTTTTTGTTGTTGTTGTTGTTTTGTTGCTGTTTTTTTTGTTTTTTTGGTTTGTTTTTTTGTTGTTGTTGTTTTTTTTGTTTTTTTTTTTTGCATTACAGCGGCTTGTTGCCGGTGAATTCTCGTATTATTTTCAGCACCTTTACATTAAAAATAGTTCTTCAATTTTTGCGGGACAAAAAAAAAATAACTACAAGAATGAGCAAACAACTTAAAAAAACAGAATCCATATTTGATTCATCTTCGATATTGCTAATATTAGAAAAAGTTAATTGAAAGAAAAATATCCGCAGGAGATAAGTTTTCAAGAAGTTTGAAGCTCAATTTTAGGATAAAAAATAAGGAAAACAGTCTAATTAAATGTTCGCTATGATATTTCGATAACCAGAAAAATATGATGCTGTTTTGGAAATACAGCAAAAATATGAGAAAAGCAACGATCTGTGTAAACACAGTGTGGACAACCTAGGCAAGACCATGCCAACAACAATGATATGTGAAATAAGTTCATCCTGTTAATAGGTGATCTTTGAACGATAATAATGCGAGTTTTTCATTGGATGCCTCACCGTTGGATGTCGGTGAAAATACTTGAAAGAATTGATATTTACATTTACCATATAACCCGCACTTCGGCCCTATGTGCGCTCTTAAAAGAGGGTCTCAATGGGTTGGTACGCATCACGACTCACGGCTAAAAATTTGGCGATTTCACGACTCACGACTAATTTTTTCGAATCACGGTTAACTAGATTAAGAAATTTTTGAATTACGTTTTTCATTGCTTTTTCTTTTTTCGTATGAATAGACTGCGTGACTTATTCGTACGGACATGGATTTTTCTATTTCAAATGAGCCGAAATGCGACTATTTCCGAGAAAAAATGATTAATCATAAATTCATAATGCACAAAAAAAATCCAAAAAGTGTTAAACATAGCAGGTAGTGAGAACATAGTAGTGACATTGCTGCAGTCTGTGTCTGACATCGGAGTTTACGAAATTTCATTAAGTGTCTCTTTTCGCGATGATGTATTCTATGCCGGGCTAAATGTGCATAAATTGTAGCGTATTCATAATATTATTTGACCCTAAACAAAATTATAGTATTTTAAAATCGATATCTTATATAATTACTTTAGAATGTCAGATATGTACCATGTCCGTACGAATATCAAACATAACTCGGAAACTCTGTTTAAAAATGTTGGCGGTTGCGCAATCGCCGCGCTGTGAAAACTTATTATACGTTTAATGAAAACAAGCCAATGAAAGCGCGCTTTAAAATATCACATTATAGAAAATATATAGAAGTAATTACTAAATGATTCTGCAGATTTTGTAATTAAACATTAATGCATAGGAAGCTAATTCAAAGACAACAACAAATAAACAAAAAAAAAAGAAATATGAAAAAAGAAAAAACTTGAGTATTGGGATTCGAACCCATGACCATAAAATCGAAAAAAGGTTGGGACGATTCCCCCGAGACATTCTGTGAAGCTGAGGCGGCGAATCGATTTACATTCCGGTTAGAGATTTCGGCTCTTCCATGCTATCCCGATAATTGGTCCTAACTTCGCGCTAACTAAAAAGCCAGTGAGGGAGAAGCTATCCGGCCCCTAGACACTGATGGATAACCCCTTGCACTAACTAGGCAACTATCGAAAGTATAATGTCAAATTGGGGTAGTCTATTCGGTGAAAGTGTCAAGTGGTCTATTATTATGTAAATGAGAGTGATCCAGTGGCGCACCGCGTTAAGGCGCCGCTTGCAAATCCAATGTAGGTTTGACGGTAGCGGGATCGATTCCCTGGAGGAGACGTTTAATGATTTTGTTTTTTCCTTTTTATTTNCCCTATGTGCGCTCTTAAAAAAACTTCGGGAAATGATCACGTGATGGGGGCCGTACGCCTTTTCGCGACTGGGCCGTTTATTTTTTTATTTTTACATTAAAAACGCTGTCATATGATAAATTCTTATCGACTGAGTTAGGTCGGGCCGTACGGAAAAATATTTGGCTCCCGGTCTAGCGTACGGCATAACCTCGAGCCAAATATTTCCCCGTAGGGCCTCCCACTCAGTCAATAAGTACAATCATATTATCATATAATTATCTATGAAAATATACAGCCTTTTGCACAAATTATGAGACATTTTTATATATATAAATATACCTAACCAAATATCAAAAACACCCAAGAAATTATGGGATACCGTCGCTGATATTTTGTCTGTAACAACCTGATGCTAGGCAATCATGACAAAATATAATAGAGATATACCATAATTTCTGGGGTGTTTTTGATATTTGGTTAGGTATATTTATATATATAAAAATGTGTCATAATTTGTGCAAAAGGCTGTACCTATATATATTTCTCCATTTCATAAAGGTGTTATTCACTAGTGAAAAATAACACATTTGAGGTTTTTCTATTAGTGGAAGTAAGAAAAAAGTTACTTAACCACATAATTTGAATTCATATGTAATTATATGATTAAGAGAATATTACGTGGTCGCTTGGAGATACGAATTTTATCTTCTCGCGTTGAAAATCTCTCACTCGTTCACTACGATCTCTCGTGAGAGATCTTTTCAACACTCGAAGATGAAATCCGTATCTCGACGCGACCATGTAATATCCTCTATTTATGATACGAATAAACAAAATAAGAAATTGAGTCTGAAAGGGACTCGTTCTGAAAACYAACGAAACCAGTGTTCATTAGACTGCACGGGTGACGCTAAGATGAAACTCAGGCTATTTGCTCATTTGAGGAAAAACAAAACATTTTACCTAGCCCTAAATCTCTCATTTCAACTTTTTTTCCTTGATTTGTCAACCTGCTTTTGCAACTTGCATTCGCCATTGTAACTGCTCAATTTCGATTTGCTGAGCTAAGATAACATAATAATTTATATATTTTATACAGAAACAACAACAACAGCAACAACYACTCASTTTTTCTCAACCATTGTTTTATTTTCTATTCTGCAATGAATTGTTACACTGTAATACCGTCCAATACATTGATAACAATTGAATTGTCGATTAATCAGATACTGGAGGAAACTGAAATGAATTTCTCAAATATTAGCAGTACATATTTTAGCAGATTTCGTTTTATATTGAAAATAATAATAAAACGCAAATATTTCAATCGATTTCCACGATTTGACTCAAATTGACATCAATTATAGATTGCTTAGTGTAATTTTCAAATTTCAGTTTTAAAAACATTTTTTACATGTTTTATGACACCGTTTTTCCAAGAATGACGTGACTCCATAGCCACCTTCTTGACAGTCATTTTCGTTGAACCTTTGGCAGAGAATAGCCACGTCTGGATCATCACTGCATTCTGAAGAAGAATTTATATTATTATAAATACTGTATTAAAAATAGATGATTTTTATACCATGTATTATAAAATCTTTGATAATTTATATAACGCGCGCTCTAATTGGCTGACGACCGTGTTTATATCAGATGACAGAGACACAGCTTACCGGAAAAATTTGCTTTTCGCTCGAAAAAGTTTATAAAAGAAATATAAAACGGTCGCTTGTGTCTCTTT